ATTTGCCGAAAAAACCGATGCCGGTAGCGACAAAAATTGCGGGGAACCCTGCAAAAAACGCATCTTTGCACGGGCAGCCCGTGCGTTGGCCAATTATGTCTTTTCCTCTGCCATATTGAGTGTATTTTGATGCAGTTTTGAGGTACTTTGTTCAGGTGAATGAAGCCAACGCAACTGTTGTATATTATCCACGTTTCGAAGTGTCACAGCACGAAATCCGTTTAAACAACGTGAACACACTGCATGCTGATCTGGCTGTTCATGCTGCGGCGGTTGTAGCGCCAAAGATTGTGCTGGAAACGGATGCTGGAAATGTTTTGCGCATTGAGGAAATGAAGTCAACATCGCCAACAGTGTTACGTTATCGTATCAAGGTATACATCTTTTTTAATTTTTGATGACCTTTGTTTTTGTTTGATAATGATTAACATTTATCATCATTTTTGAATAATTTCTAAAAAAGCATCATATGAAAAAAGATGAGTAATGATTTTTTGTACAGAAAGCAGTGTCCTTTTTTCTTTCTTAGATAAAATGATAAGGCGAGTATGCATTTTCTGGTAAAATTTTATTGGGTTTTTCCAGCTTAACGTCCATTCGGCGCTGACCTGGCATGAGCTTTTGGACAGGTGCAATATATCAGTGAAAAACACACTTACCGGGCAAACTGAAGTAATACCGGTAAAAGTGGTGCTGCACGGTGACGCTTCCAAGGCTGTTTTGCATGGTATTTCTCGTTTTTCTTTTCATCTATGTTTGCTGCTTAAAGTGGTATTGTTGCGTTTCACTTAGTTTTTTTGAATTTTAGCATCTGATACGTTTTTCGGCGTTATTGGAACGTTTTTGGAATCAACAATAGTTCAAGTGTGCGCATCACTTTTTACCGCCGCCTTCATAGCCATCCTGATAGGTGAGCTTTTTTAGTTTTATTTTTTTTTTTAAAAAAAAATAGTGCCATTTCAGCAAAGTTTCATTTGAGCAAATTTCGGATAAGTTCCATTATGTTAAATTTTTTGCAGCTTACTGTAAGGGGTATGATTTTTGGTCGTATTTGTTTGGCTCGGTTTATGCTATCGAACCCGACAGCAATTACAGAGTTTTTGCCAGAGACAATTCAGGTTACGTTTCAGCGTTTAACATGGCCTTTTGATTATAGAACATCCTCTAATGTTAGGTCAGATTTAGCATTTACATAAGTTGTAAAAAAATAGCGTTTAACAGATTCTTGAGACATGGTACTGATAAAAGTAACAGTGCCTTGTCAAATGAATTATTC